GTATTGAACTTGTACACTCACGTGGTTAATTGATTGAGAATTTGAATAATAAAAAAAGGTACTTATTAACCACTATTGTATAGTTTTGCACGTGGTTTGAATTTTTTTATACAATAAGGTGGCAAACGAGCAAGCGGCCACCTAAATCCGCCCAAAAAATGGGCAGCGACCGCTGCAGATGCGTTGCCTACCCTAAAACGACGGAGGAGGTGGAGACGCAAATAAAGAGGATATTTCCTCTTTCTATGCCCTCCTCCACCGTTAAATCCACTTTCCCCTCCAATCCTTTGTTTATAAGTAGATGGTGGAACGGGAAAGGCACTAAAATTAGGCCTCCGGCACCACACTCATCAGACAAAACGCGGAATTGCTCCCACTTCACACCTGTCTTCATACATTGCAGATGAAAAACTATGAATAGTTAAAATATTCGACGACATGTAGATATACTCCCATAAATAGCTTGAAAGGGAAAACAATAACTGATTTTACGACCACTCTATGCTATTTATTCTATGTAATTTACTTCACGAACACTATCTGTACTGGATCTGACGGCCGCAGGAATGCAGTAACCACAGCTGTTGGAAAGGGAATCTTCACTTGCAACCTGTTTCTTTATAACGCAGCCGAGTAATCAATTTATATTGACTTGAGCCGCTCTCGGCGCCTCGCCTTATGCAACTACACCAATGAAAGTAAAAGGAATCGTAACGAATACAACTATTAAATATTCTCTTTTTACTGTACGTAAATAGATATCGGCGGGTTTTTGTTATTCTTTTTTTTTCCATTTCGTATTAATCAAGCGGAGTTTTTAAATTATTCCAGTTGTCTCTGGTCGACATCTGACTTGAACTATTTTAAATGATAAATAGAATTAACTGTTGCCTATAGGGTTCTTGTTTTCTTCCCTAGATACATTTTTGTAATTTCATTTCCAGTAATGTAATTTAAAACATACTGACATATTATCTCAACTGGTACAAAAACTAGAAATATTGTAAATGCAACATCAATAGACACAAGTTTGTCTTCGGGAAATAGTACTCACTACGTTTTTATTTTTAATCTCGCTCTACGATAAGTGTACAAAACGTAACAAACAAAAGATTTTTATGCTTATTTTTGACATAAAGACATCTCAAGCCAGTATCAAAGGAGATTCACTCTATAATTACGCGCAGCAATGAATGTCGTCCCGATACGCTCACAAAGGCTGGTTATTCACATGTGACCTTTAGAAAAATTCCTTGGAAATTATTGGACGAGTCCTGGGAAATAAGCGAATCCTTTAGTAGTTATAAACGTCCAATGTGAGTTATTGATTGTTTTGGTTTAAAATATTCCTTTGATTCTTAAGAGAAATAATAAAGGTAAAAATTCAATATAGATTTATTAAATAGTTCATTGGAGTCCATACTAACTACTAAGAATTATTGACTTGTAACGCAAGACATCACTGAATATTGACAAAACATCTGTTAATTTTATAATTATAAACTCGACAAGAGTATCGCTATCTTTTATTTCTCCAGTAATTCTAACGAGAGTGTAATATTTGAATTATCTGTAAATAGTAGCTTGTATGAGAATTTATTGAATCAACAAAAAAGCCGTCTACAGTATCGCCAAATACGGCGGACGCAGCTGATATACAGGGCGATTAGCATTGTCGTACTGTTCACTTTGTATGCGGCGGTCACGAACACGTTGTCCGATTTGTACTTTATCGGGCCACATATATACGCGAATTGAATGCTTTTATTTATGGATTTGTAAGGAAAATGCGGAAACAGAATTTGATATTAAGTTCAATGAACTACTGGATTTGTTAGTACGGAAGTATTTAGGATATGTCTGTTAATTTTAATATTGTTTAATGGTTATAATGATTACTCTATTTAAAATGATTACTTAGCAAATTAAAAAAAAATCAAAGCGTTAACGCGTGTTTAACTAAACAGTGTGTAAGTATAATTTAGTGTAAAGTTAGGTAGAAGTAGAAAGTAAAAAAACAGCACCATTCCTGGCTTAAGTGAAATAAACAAATGTAGAGTTGCATTACATTGCTTTATTTAATCTTGTGTGATCAGCGTGTAAACTTGAAAATAGCAGGCGCTTGGTTAATTTTCTACATGCAACGAGTTTTTACATCTGTAAGTAAATGAAATGAGATAAAAAGAAACGAACCCGAGTAAATAAATTCACTGTCGCCCGCTCAGGTACCACTGTGATTATGTTACATTTGTAAAACGTTTATTTTTTTCTGGACACTTGACAAATAGGATACTTAAAATATTTATATGCGAATGTCTCTGTACATAAATTTTATTAATATTTTTGGTAAATGTACGTTTAAATGTAAATAAAATTTAAGCGATAATTCATCTTAAGACATTAAAATATTGTTATTTGACAATAAACAACTTTTTGTTTATCATATTAAATACTGAAATGTAGTAAAATAGATGACTTTTGTGCTGTTTTAGGTCCTTCCATATAAAAGACATCAACGCATTATTGTCTTAATTTGTTTTGCGTACTTTATTAGGGGGTCATATTGGGTATACGTTGCGTGTTTATATAATCAATGATTGTATGTTTCACCGTATTTTATATAACGAGAGTTCGCGTGGGGTTTAGAGAGGTCATTACCATTGTGCGGTAACCATGGTCATTATGATAATCTATTTGACATTGACGGTGTTGATGTGTTATTTGCGAAGATTGAAACGTGATTGCAAATAAGCGTTGATAGCTCTGTCAGTTACCCTTTTTATAAAATGAAAAGAAAGAATAACCGCCTTATACGTTAATCAACGATAATATGTATATGAAACGAAAAGTAGAATATAAAAAACCTTCAATCTAAATTTTTTAAAGACAATCTTAAATCCGGATTGTTTTATTTCTTACATTTCATAAATTAATCGCCCTTTTTATAATAAAATGTTCTCCGAGATTAAATTAAATGAGACTGATGCACAGACTGTTAGAAATTCAGTAATTAACATGGGAATAAGTTCATAATTTAGACCAATATAACTAGATATATCGAAAATTGTATTTATACTTAAAAAGTTACATATCTAATCCTATTTACGAGTACATATTAGTAATATATAATAGATTTGTAACGGGGCACACTTACTACTTATCACATTAAACTATAGTTTATCTAAATATATTAGATTACTTTGATAAATGACGCATATGAAGCATCGAATTCAATTTGTATGAAGGCAAATGCCATACTTAATAGACAGGTATCGTAGTGACGAAACAAACACATACAGCGAACAATTTTGAACTATCGATATTAAGTTTAAATAATTATCGAACTTAACTATTATTTTCTTATTAACTAATTTATAGGACAATTCTAGTATTGATTATTGTGTAGAGAATTTAGCGATGGGAAATAATAGCGAAATCCAATTCGATTACGTACGGCTGTAGTATAATAGTAGAAAACATTTATTTACTCTCATTATTTGTTATGGTCATTATTAATTTGAGAAAACAATGTTTTTTTTATTCATAAGTTATAACTATAAATCAATCGATTCCAACTACTATGGGAAAAAAGTCGAAAATCTATAAGATTCATGACTGATTTTACACAACCCATCCCTACTAAATTTGAAGTGAATTGTCAAACTAATCTAAATTATTTAGACACACTATAGAGTAGTATGTGCGTCAATTGCCTGAATGTCAACGACTCGATATAATTATAGAAAAATAAGGCGCCATCATTTACTTGACTAAAGAATTAGGTTCAGTTTAGCCTATTCTATTTTATTCCCTTAGAAATTCTTTCCTATAATCAACAACACAGGCACGTTTAAAGTACTGCTTTGACTATCCTTGCCAAGATCATGGTAATGGGTGAGATAACTGAATACTGTCAAGCATTTGTCTTAACTTAAATAGTATTTGACTAGTAATTAAACACTAATCACTGGAATCACTTTACTTACGGTTAATTTACAAAAAAAAAAAACAAAATATTAAATTACATGCATCCACAAATAAAGAAAATCTTATGTTAATAAACAAAATCTGTAAATTAGAATGAAAATAAATCATCCTGTGATGATAACTACATAATATTTTTTATCTCACGAACTCATTGAATTTAAAAAAATATTTTCCTAGTTTACATGAATAGCAAAATTCCATTAATACATATATGCATTTTATTTCTTTCAGACTGCCGTATGCAAGAAATATGATTTACTTATGATCATCTCAAACTGTGACAACTGACTGCAAGAGGAACTTTCATCACCATGATGAAAAAATATTTAAAATGTTACATAGTTCTACTAACACAATTTATAATTATAAAAGGATTTCAGCTTAACAACAGTGAGTACTTTTGTAAATTATTTTTAATAGAATCGTATTTTTTCTGAGTATTTAAATAATTTAATTTCTTCAGGTTCCTCAGATGTAAGTCGGCATCCACGTGGTCGTGTAGTAAAATTGTATTCTGGACCTAAGCCTGAGCCAATCACATGTAACAACGAAGGGTTCCTATCAGAACCAACAGATTGTTCAATATTTTACCGATGCATTAAAGCTCCAAGAGGCAAATATACAGTAGTTAAGGTAACATATTTATTGTGTGTTAGTTGAAATATCGAATGGTTAATGTTTTTTTTCTATGTTGTCAGTTTAAGGTAATCTGAAAATGTATTTCATTTTACAGTTTCAATGTAGTCCGGGAACTGTCTACGATCCAGAAATTGAAACTTGCAACCATCCACAGAATACAAAACGATCCGAATGTAGATCCAGTAGACCCCATCAATTTATAACAGGTCCTATAGAACAATATAATGACAATGAGATAGAACCTGCTGTTCATGAAATTCCATCCCCTATTACCACTCGAAAACCGGTATACGAAAAACAAACATCAATTCCAGAATTACCGAGCACATCTACAACTCTTCCTTCTCCAATACCAATTGCAATACAAAGTCCAGGCTATGGAGCGTACGTGCCAATAAATCTAGTTCAAAGTACGATTCAGGCACAAACAAACGAAATCACCAAAACAACGGTGCTCCAAACACCTATGCCTTCAATTTATTCAACATCCCAAACTCAATGGACTCCACCTGCTAACCAATATGGATCTACAACTACAGCCGCAAGATTCAGTAATGAATGTATACACGACGGTTTTATGGGCGATAGTGAAGACTGCCGTAAGTTTTATAGATGTGTCAATGATCAAAGAGGAGGATATCAAAAATTTGAATTTTTGTGCAGTGAGTCAACAATATGGGACGATGATATACAAAGCTGTAATCATCCTTGGGCTGTTCGCTATCGACGTTGCGGACATGATACATCGTATAGGGACTATAGCCCTAAGCATGATGAATACTATTCTCAAAAAAATAACAGCCTAATCGAAGGACAACTATCTGATTTTGAGTCAAACAAGACAGAAATACCCGTGAAGGTTGATTTACCATTTAGTACTGTAAACTCAATCAGTTATGGAGAACAAACAAACGTTGATAAAAACGTGGCATGGATTGACAAAAGTAATGTGAGTAATACCATACCAAACAGCCAAGAAAGGCAAACTTATTACCCTATTGTGGAGAAAGAAAAAGATTACATTACGCAATCTTACGAAACAGTTACAAAGACAAGTTCTTATAAACCAGAGGTGGCTTTACATGACACATCTTATGATGCCAATCCACCAAATTATAAAGTACAAAATAATGCCTGCACCGAATCTGGATTCATGGGTGATCCGCAAAATTGCAGAAAGTTTTACAGGTGTGTCGAAAATGGAAGAGGTAGTTTTATTAAGCATGAGTTTCAGTGCGGTGAAGGCACAGCATGGGATAAAAATATTGAGTCATGTAATCACGTGTGGATGGTTAAAGATTGTGGTGAGAGAGGAATTTCAAACAGTTTTACTTCCGAACGTAACGAACCCGAAAATATGCACACGACATTATCGAACACAATAAAAGATGACGTTGCAAGCGACAATAATGGTTACAATAATTGGAACGATATAGAAAAACAAAATGTCTCAAGACCAACTACTGTGATGCCAGTAGTTACTCAAATACTAGAAGAACCTTCCAAATTGAATGAAAGTCATGAAATGTGTAATTCTGTTGGATTCATGGCTAACCGAAACAATTGTAAAGTATTTTACAGATGTGTAGAAAATAGCAATGGTGGTTTTACCAAATTCGGGTATTTGTGTGGCGATGGTACTGCGTGGGATCCAAGTATCGAAGCCTGTAACCATGTTGGGCAAGTAAAGCATTGCGGACCCAATATTGAAAACCAAACAATGTCAAGTATTGCTAGCACCGAGCCAACAATCATTACCACTGTATCATTTGTGCAAACTACTGTGGAGTTGAGTGATAATAAGCCTTCGTCTTTGCCACCGTCAAATAATGACGAGCATTTACAAGATAACCAATCAAATGACTTTAACAAAGACCCGATTAGGACTACAGAAAGAACTACGGTAATAAATATGTCAAATGTAACAGTCACTAGTTCTAATAAAATCAACTCTTGCGTTAACAGCGGATTTATTGGAGATAACCTTGATTGCAAAAAGTTTTATAGATGTGTATCAAACGGAGATGGGAGCTACAAACAATATGAATTTTCTTGCGGTGAAGGTACACTATGGGATCCTGAAATAGAAGCATGTAATCACGCATGGGCTGTGAAAAAATGTGGAGGTAGTAGTTACAATCAAAACGAAGTTTCTACGTCACGCTCAACGACTACAATAAAAATTTCTAGTGAGTTCGAGAGTGATTATCCTACACAGGGTTACGACCAAACCCAAGTTCCCATACATAATACTGTTGATATATCTACCAGTAGCGTACCAGTTAGTGATAAAGGCCTACAGTGTCAATCTGCTGGATTTATGTCTGACAAAAATGACTGTAAAAGATTCTATAGATGCGTTGAAAATGGATTAGGTGGCTTTGATCGTTTTGAGTTTTCTTGTGGGGAAGGAACTGTTTGGGACTCCGAAATACAAGCATGCAATCATGCATCGTCAGTAAAAGACTGCGGTATACCTATTTATAATACCACCACATCATCTCTCGTTGAGAGTACACAATCTACAGCTACGGTTCCTATTGAAGTTAATAAAAACTTATCTGGATCAGAAACAGAGTCTTCAACTACCATAGAAATACAGTATACAAACAACACTTGTAAATCTGATGGATTTTATGGTGATGAATATGACTGTAAAAAGTTTTATAGGTGCGTCCAAAACCAACAGGGAGATTTTTTGAAGTACGAATTTAGTTGTGGTGAAGGTACAGTTTGGGATCAAAATATACAAGCTTGCAATCATGCATCTACTAATAGTGCGAAATGCAAAGGCTCAACTGAAACTTTAGTAACTACGGCATCGCCTTCAGTTACCTCAGCCAGGGAACCGGGTAGCACTGAAATTAACAATACCTTGCACCCAGACGAAAATTCCACACAAGAAAATAACGATATAGCTGATGTCAGTAATACTTGTTCTGCAGAAGGTTTTTATCCAAATTCAAAAGATTGCAAAAAATTCTTTAGATGTGTTAACAATGGGAAAGGATACATCAGGTATGACTTTATCTGCGGTGAAGGTACAATTTGGGTGCAAGACATTCAAGCGTGTGACCATGACAGTGATAATTTTACATGCGGTACTATACCAGTAACAGAAAATGAAGTAACTTCTTCAACTCAAGCAACAACGTTTCATACAGATACAGGACATAGTGAAGTATCGAAGACTACGGAATCTACCGATGCTTCCACTGATCGAAATACACAAAGTGTAGAATGCCATTCTGAAGGGTATTACGGGAAAGCCGATGACTGTCGACAGTTTTACCGTTGTGTTCGGAACGAACATGGAACTTATACGAAATATGACTACATTTGTAGCGAAGGGACGGCTTGGGATGTCGATAAACAATCTTGTAATCACATCGATTTAGTAAAACGATGTCAATCGACAAGTATTCAAGATGTGCAATCTACAACTGTAAAACAATACGAAGAGGAATCGAAAACAACGGAAGCGATAATGCCAATAAAATCAACTACCTTAACTGCAGAATCAACATCTATCAAAGAAGATGCTTCTATTATAGCTGAATGTAATAGTGAAGGTTACTTTGGAAATCAAGAGGATTGCCAGAAATTTTACAGATGTGTAAACGATGGGAAAGGTAAATTTGTTCGGTATGATTATATTTGTGGGGAAGGTACTATTTGGGATCAAGACATTTTAACTTGCAATCATCCTAGAGATGTTATAAATCGATCATGTGATAATAAATCTACAAGTGCATCATCACCTGAAAACACAGATGCTTCAACTCAATCGACAACGAGTGCACCCTCATCTACTCAATCGTCCTCAACTCCATCAATGGCAACACAAAGTACGACGAGTTCTATGACGACACAAACTGCAACCACTTCAACAACGACAC